GCCTGCCTGCCTGCCTGAGCTGTGTGGGGGCCTGGTGCTTCCCTCCACAGCTGTAATGTCTCCTGGGACCGCCCGAGCTGGGTGCCTGTAGGCAGGTGACACCTGGGGAGGGCCGCCGCTGTCGCTGTCGTGGAGGGAAGAACCAGCCCTGCCTCTCACAGCTCAGGGATCACTCCACCCACTGGCAGCTCACCCTCCCCTCCCCGCCAGAGAGGCAGGTAAATCAGTGGGATGTGTGCACAACACAGGGGTTTAATCAGCCCTAAATTGAAGTGATGTTTTTAAAACTCACCGCTTCAATGTAGGGTCCCCGTTTAGTCTCCACACACCCTTACACATTAAATCTGCATCATTCAGTAATTGAACCAAGATCTCACAAATTTCAGTCCAATGCCTTAAAAATCACAAAGGTTAACCTTATTCTTAACAACACTTTTCTTGTTGGGTGCTTTTAAATTTGCTAATGGAAGACAGGTGGAAAAAATCCCCTTGCCAAGACAGGCTTGATGACTAACTTACCTTGAAGCAAGAGGCTTTTCCGACTTGCTTGGCAGAATAGCTGCTTGCATAAGGGTGCTGCTTCAAGTCCCCTACATAATAAATGAAGGACATGCACAGGGCAAACAAAGCTGTAGCTCTGTTGATTAAGCCTGGACTGGTGTCTGTCCACTAACAAAAGATGCACACATTGAACTGTGAATTTAGAATGGCACTTTGATGTACTGTATATTACATCTTTAAGGTGCTGACAGTTTGTTCAGGAAGAGGATAACAACAGCTACACTCAGACCTTAGATAGCCTTCTACATCCATACCTCTCAAAATTCTTATTAAAAAACCTGTCATCATCCACGTTTTACAATGATGGAAAGTGATACACTAAGGGAATGACTTCTCCATCGTGACATATCAGGGGCAGAGCTCATAACAGAGCTTCACACTCAATTCCCAGGTCAATGTTCTTGTGCCTGCACCAGATGCAACTTTCCTCCAAGGCCAGCCTAAGATAGGGGAAAACAACCACCATATCAAGGTGCCATTCTAGACCCCATCACATTTCTGCTCTAGAAGCCAAACACATTACTTTGACTGTACCTTCTCTCACCTACCTATAAGAACATGCATATAGACTTAAAAATAAGAAAAGGAGTTCAACACACATGTTCTACTACACCTTTAAACTTCTCTGTCCATGAAGAGGGAGAGAAAAGAATACATACTACTCATGCTGCTGAAATGTAGCAGCTGCCTCTCTCCCAGTGAACTGGAAAATTGTAGGAGCTGCAATGTCTTGTGCTCAGGCCTTTATGGGTACATACACCTGCACTGATCTAAAGTTAGAGCAATAACTATAAAAAGAACAACTTGCCAACTTGACATTAAAGCTGGAGCTTTCATAGCTGCCTGCTTCCTACCTTCAAAGTTAGGCAAGATTCACATTGCCCATGCTATTATGAAGCCTGGGATGTTTTTAAAATGTCTTGAAGCTGAAGCTACTGGTTAAGCTTAATGAACTTTGTCAAATTTGCTAATTCTAACTGACAAGCGCCACTCTTGGTCTCAGATCCTTTTGTGCAGGCTTAGTAATGGACAGAATTGGGGAAAAATACATTTTTCCTACGCATTGACTTGTAGATATTGTTAGTTCTGGCTATAGATCTGACTACTGAATAGATTACTCAAAGAAGTGTTCACTGAGTAATGGTCTAAAAAAATAAAAAATAATAAAAAATAAAGAATTTAACTGTCCTTTGTTAGACATAATCAACCCAAATATTCTTATATCCTGTTCTTAGTTATTCAATCCAGGCAAATAAAATAAATAAATAAATTCCCAAATCAGTCAGAGGAAAAAGGAAGTGATGGGTATGTCTACACATGCAATCAGGCTCCTTAAAATGCTCCAGGGTGCATGTCTACACATGCATGTGTGTCAGAAGCAGATTGTGTCTGACAGGACCAGCCCAGTCCAGGGTTCTGCCCTCCTGCAGGAGCTTGAGGAAGTCTGCAGCACCCCTAGATGCTAGCCTCAGGCTGGCAGGGGTCACAGGGCTTGCCCTGAACCCTGGCAGTCAGGCGAGCTGTGCCAGCTCCTGGGGCAGCTCCCAGCTGCACAGAGCTCAGGGACCATATCAGTTACTGGGAATATATAGTTTTTATTCAATTGCTAGATTACGCCTTTTAGTTGTATAGTGTAAGGATTAGAATCCCCCAACCATATGATCCCCCCAAGACAAAAAAAAAGATCGCTTTCCCTGTGTATTAAAAAAACACCCTACTCTTAGTTATGGGAAATGAATATTTTTTTCTCATGCTGTGATTTCTGAGGGAAAGTAGGCTGTACTGATAATTTAAGCAATTTGATTATGAGATGCTCAATAAATATAAAGGTGGTAAATGAAGATGGATTTAACTGGGAGCAAGGTACTCAAAGTTCTATCACTGAGAGAAGGATTTTTTAACTCAGTTGATAGGACAAAGCATGCCTCAGACAACCAGCAACCTTGGTTGGATTTATCAGCAAAAAATTTCATAGATTTCATAGACATCAGGGCTGGAAGGGACCTCGGAAGATCATCGAGTCCAGCCCCCCGCCCAAAGGGCAGGAAGTCAGCTGGGGTCATAGGATCCCAGCAAGATAAGCATCCAGTTTCATCTTGAAGGTGTTCAATGAAGGCGCTTGAACCACCTCCGGTGGCAGGCTGTTCCAGACCTTGGGGGCTCAGACAGTAAAGAAATTCTTCCTTATGTCCAGCCTGAAACGATCTTGAAGTAGTTTGTGACCATTCGACCTCGTCATCCCTTGGGGCGCTCTGGTGAACAAACGTTCCCCCAGATGCTGGTGGTCACCCCTGATAAACTTGTAGGTAGCCATCAGATCACCCCTGAGCCTGCGCTTTTTCAGGCTAAAGAGCCCCAGGGCTCTCAGCCTGTCATCGAATTGAACTGCTATAAGCTTTTTTGCAATGAGAAATTTACCAAGCACTATGTTTCAAACTATCCATAATCATTTCAGAAGGAAGGCTGGTATATAATTTTATGATGAAATAAAATTATATACCTGTTTGTTTTTATAAACATATGGCACCCAATACTCTGGTGCCAAGTCATGCATTTCAGCAAAGAAACAGACATTTCTAGCACAGACAATGCAAAAAGAGATTAGATAGAATGTGAATGGGAACTTTTAAGAACTTTTTTTTTTTTTTTTTTTAAAGAATTGCTCTCATTCAGATTAACCCAACTTTTCCAAAATGTCTTTCTTGGTCATTTCTAAGGGCTCATGAAAATACAACAAACCCCAAAACCAAACAAACAACAACAACAACAACCAACAACCTTATTTTCCAGGTTGGTCAAAAAAAAGTCTGTCAAAAAAGTTCATAAAAAAAAAATTTGATCTTGCTGAACCTAGCCAAAACTTCAAGTCCACAGAGTAATACTTATACTGCTCTCCCCATCAGTTAGTGCACTGTTCTAGAATGAGGGGACTAAGGCTGAATCCTGAAAACTTCTTGCCTGTCTAAAAAAAGTAGTATGGATGGGGAATTAGTCCAGTAACCAAGAGAATTGGATTTAACTAAACCTAAGCCTCTTTCTTTTAATGAGGTTAAAATTAGGTCGTAAGAGTTAACCCAACATGCGCCATAAGCTTTGGTGATATACCATAAAGTTTACCATTGCATCTCAATAGGAATGTTTGCTGCCTTCAAACCATGTGCTATTTGGGACTTGCCCAGTACCACAGATACACAAGGAATGTCTCAGACCTCAAAAGAGATCAAAACTGTCAAGTCAATTAAAAGATACCAGCCATGATGATGGGGCATCATACCTGGTACCTGCATTAGCCTAGAACTATCAAATAAATGTTCATGGGTCATTTAAAAAGGTGGGACAGTCCTATTGAAGTCAAAAGCAGTCAATTGCTTTGCATAGCAATTTCTGGGCAAGAGAATAATTGTAATGTAAACAATTCATGAGGGAGAAGCTCTTCTCAATCGGCATATATCTTTACATTCTGTCATCACACAATTCAAAGGCACTGCTCAGTGCTGTGCCTCACCCTCATAAGTTATTTTGAATTGTACTTCCCAACTGTATTGGTTCATACAGTTTGAGATTCAAGGTGCCAGAAGCAAACCTGCACAATGTGCCATTTAATTAGTACTAATTCATGCTAATTCCAGCAATATGCCAGTGAATGAAAGAAAGGCCATAACTAAATGGTGTTCAGAACTGCAGACAGCGCTCTGGATATTGAGGTTTGATGACAATTTTCCCACACACCCCTAACAGCATTTTCTAATACATCTGAAAACTTCTGAAAAATGTGTGGAATAAACATTTAAAAGAAGCAAACCAACTATCCAGTTCTTAAGGACCTTTAAAAAGTACTCTTGGCATTAGCACAACTCAGCTCCTATTACAAGTCCTGGTGAAACTGCTGTTAACAGCACTGGGAAAACAAGTTTAGTCGATGCTGAGACTTTTATGAAAATCCTACCAAAGGGGTCTGCCATGTTGCTTAGCCTTACTTTAAAATTTCATGCAGATATAGATTCCAGGCACCACTTCCTTCCCTAAAGAGACTGCAGCTTTGCACATATATGGAGAGAAAACAAAATGAATTGGCACTTTTATTTTGAGGACACAATGCCACAAGTCATACATGTCCTGACTCCGTTTGCCATGGTTGTGCTTCGCTTGACTCTGATCTTCTCTGAAGTAGTCCCAGACTAGCCGACAGAGCACCACCACTGCCAGACACCCCACAGGGAGCGAGTTGTTTATCTTTTCTATCATAGAAGAGAAGCTAAAGTGCTGCTGTTCTTGGCAGCCAAGCCTTTCTGAAGAAAAAAAGAGGAGGAAGGGGAGGGGGAACTTCATCTAAGCAATCAAACCTGTTGGACAAGCCAGGGCTGCTATAGAGAGAAGCAGAGGGTGGGCTTTTCTTTCCTAGTGTGTGCAGTGCACACATACAAAAGCCAGCCCCAGTACACTCGGCTTCTTTTGAATTGGACAAGCTCTCCCTCAGCCAACAGATTGCTGAGCCGGGGACTGACGTCAGAGGCAGCCCTTGGAAACTGCCAGTTTTCTGGGTTTGTTCAGATGAGCCTGAAACTCTTCAGATGCGAGCTGGCTGGATCTACTATGGCTGGCTGAGGCTTTTATACTTTGAAAGAAAACCCCACCATCAAGATTTTGAGAACTGCCAAGGCTTATGTACATACTACAGAGGAAAATGAGGGTAAGATTTCAGATCTTTAGTTGTTCAGCTATGTATGTGATCTGTGTGTATTTGATTGCAATGCAGAGCCTTATATGACACTTTTTGCCATGGTGAAAGCTTGAGCCAAATTTTGCTCTCATTTACATCAGTAGAAGACTACAGGTTGTTTTAAGGGACTCAGTCCTGGATTACTGCAGTGTAGCGGAGATCAGAATCTGGTCATGCGGTCCTTTGAATTCTTTGTTTTGCTGCCAAAAAAGATGTTGGTTAAACGAATGGGATCCAGTTGTTCACCTTAGAATTTCTGCAACACCCTTAAAAGAATGTTTTAAGCAAGTTTTTAAAAATATATATTTATGGCAGTTCAGTTTACAGTCTTAATGCTGAAATCTAAAGAGAACTCACCTGTAGCATGCGGCATGTTTTCAAGATTATTTTGCTTGCACTGATAAATAGGATGTCACCAATTTTCTTTCTTTGGCTGTGTGTCTGTGCTAGTCAAGGGTATATACATATCAGAAAGGAGTGCCACTGTCTTATTTATTATGTGACTGGCAATTGCAGGTGGATTTTAGACTTGACATGAAAGACTGTACAATGTCTTCAAGATTTACATACCCACTTTTGTTGAAAATCAAAGAGACTGGGACTGTATATGTGAACACTTTCTGCTATATCCAGGGGAAATATCCCAGAAGCAGTGTTAGCTTTAAAAGTGACATAAAAACACACTGGCTTTTTAAAGCAGATTAACTTATTTTTCAGCACTGCCAACCTCCCATAAAGTCAAGGTATCTTGGCTTATTCTTGAACTAAACACATAATTTCTGTATTGAATTTTAGTGTGGTGATTATCATGGAGCTTTGCTTGTTTATAAACAGATTACTTGCCAAAGGCTTGGAAGTGCATTTACTAGGATTTAACACCGGGTACCACATGGCATCAGTTCCCAAAAAGACTCCCCCCACCTTCCCATCCCCCCAGAGTAAAATCATGAGGACAGTGTTAAATTTGGCAGTGCAGCTTGATACTTCTCATTTGAAGTCATTCATTGTTTATGGTTAGGTTGATCAAGCATCATATGCAATTAGCATAAGAGCTGGTAGCCCTTTACCTACTAGAAGCACAGAATTGTCCACATCTACATTTCAATTAACTAGAAAAAGATTTATTACTCCTCCTTCCAGAAAGGATCACTTGAAAGAGAGAGACGGAGACAAAGAAAGATGATTTCCAATATGTTCTAGAAACAATTCACAAAGAAAACAGAATGTTTCTCCCCTCCTTTCCACTCCTACCTAGAAGCTCTATAACTAAATAGTTTCAGTAGCAGTGAGAGTCCTTTTACAAATCTGTACAGGCACCTCCATGCCATTATTAGCCAAACAGCACATACCGTACATTATTGCAACGAGTGACTATCAAAGCTATTGGAATGGACCTTAAAAGGAACAAGAAAACAAATTACTAACAAGTTGCATAATATGCATAGCTAACTCGGCTTCCTCGCCTCACACTCCCAGAGGCACAGTTATTTGTCAAGCTCTTTACATGCTGTAGAGCCCATGTCTTGTGTTTCAATTTGTAAAATACATCAAAACATTAATAGGGAAACACTTGGCATCGTACCATCAAGTTTCATATATTATAAGCCCATAGGTCCTGCACATTGTGTTTTAAAACATGAATCTTAATTATAGTTTAAAAGGGGCAAATACTAGAAGTATGTTGACACACAAGGTAATATTCACTGTTCGGCAGCTGCCATGTTTTAACTACATTTCTCTTATTCTATTACATGTGTGTGTGTGTGTGTGTGTGTGTGTGTGTGTGTGTGTGTTTGTATTGGCATAAATAGAAACATGCTGTGCTAAAGGCAGTCAAATGAAATTCTGTTCATTTGTTTGCCTGGAATAAGAAACATAACTTCCCCACCCCACCTTGAAGTACAAGTACTAGTAACTGACATAGCTCCAGTTGACACCCCTACCCACATCTGAATAAAACTAAGGGTAAATCTTGTGCCTTAGCTATTACATACTGCAACATCTGTTTAAAGAACTAAATGCTGAAGGCCTTGCTGTTGTCCAATAATGTTGCAGATGTCCTTAAAAAAAATCCTGTGGTGAGTATGATTTGTTTTCCAGCAGGTAACTATTTTAGCAGTAACATTTGCCAATAAGTTTTAACTTCTGCATGTACTGCATTGACTTCACGTTGCAGTCAGACTTCTCTATTTGCATATGGTGACTATAACACAGTTGGGCTTGTGGCCACAAAAAAAAAAAGTATGGTTTTTTTTGGGTGACTGTTTTACTTAGTGGCATAAAAGGCCAGGCACAAACATGGGTGTGAGCATTCAGACTTACTTAACTCACACTATGAAATCCTAGGTAAGGAGACAGTCTTGCCCAGATGGTGCATCCCCAACCATTTCCAGTCCTGTCCAAATGGCAAAGGACATGCCAGAGATGACTCACTTCTGTCAAGATCTAGAATACCATGTATCCAGAAATGCTGGATAATTTATCATCACATATCCAGATCTAATCCTCTCTCAAAGTCCTAAATCCAAAAGCTTAGAACAAGGAGATTATGTCTTTGTAATGCAGTAGTTTGGACAGTGCCATAATTTTTACCTACGGGAGATTTCTTCTTGAATTGACAAGGCGTTTCACACTGACGTTTCTATATCCTTATTTGTGATGGACTGAAAACCTGATGATGGCAACTGCACACAGGGGGAAAAAGTTAGTTTGGTTACACGTAATTTTAAAGCTAAAAGCAATGTTTTTAGGCTGACAGGAGTGGGGGTTCAGAACTCCCCCTTTAAAGCCCAAGCTGTGTTCACTCAGATGATGTAACTGACCACAATTTATGCCTTGTAAACACTATGCATACTCACAGAAGACCTTTAAAGAAAACTGAAAACTTCTCTTTTTCTTCTCCAAACACCACAGGAAACTATGCCCCAGACGCCAATATTTTCCAGCATGCTTGGTTCCACTTGTAGTGGGCAGGTGCAGCCAGACATGGGCGAAAGGTGTGGTGATCCTGTTTACCAGGATGGAAATCTCATCTCTGGATCACTGGAAGCCCTGATAGAGCGCCTGGTGCCTACCTTGGACTATTATCCAGATGTAAGTAGACATTTGAGGGTTTCTTTCTATAGCATTTAAACAGAATCAGGATTCTAATGCAGGTGCTTTAGCTTACTGTCTTGTTCCGCTTGAATCAAGATTAAGAAACAAGTCTAAAGAGCCATTGCCTGCCCTCTGATAATCAGCCTCATACTTACATAAAGTGATGCCCAAGTAGGAGGCTCCCCCTACCTGCCTGAATGGGAATATTTATTAGAAAGATTAAACCCTGGCTAACCCCATTGGTACTTCACGAAACAATTAAAAGTGGCATTAGCAGTAGACATTTCGATCTGTCTAAGCTTCCTTTGCCCTAATGCAGCCTAGATTGGCTACTAACTAGACTCTGCTCAGGGGAAGTACAGAAGTTCTGTGTGCTGAGGGAAGCTCAAACTCTTTAACTTCATTTTACATATTCCTTTAGTTTGGTTGTCTAACCAGCAAAAATATGTGTGTTGAAAGAGAGCATTTTAATTTTTATATATATATATATATATATATATATATATAAAAATCAGGATCATTGTATGTAGCCTTAATGACATTGAGCTATGACCCACTTCCCAAACCTAACAGAAGCTTACATTTCTCTTCTTTTGTTCAGAGCCAACTTTGAATAAAATGCAAAATGCTCTCTTTCAACACATTTTGACTAGCCTGAAATTCCAAAATGTCTCTTTCTCAACCCAGCAACAGTTTTGTTATGGTTTCAAATCTCCTCACCACAATCCCCTGAAATGAACACCACGTCTAACCGTAGGGTTCTAAACTCAGGATGTCATTAAGAGATTATTGTATTACTTAAAATGACCTACTGTGTCTCATAAAGGATGGCTGCAAAAAAGCAACACAATTATATGGCAAAAATTGGGTTTAAAGTCCTGGGAAAAAGGGTAAAGGTATCCAAACCCTTTGTTTAAAGGCTACCCGAGCAATTAACTATATCAAAATCACTACTGCAGTGGGCTATGCTGGAAAGAACTGTATTGCAGTGCAAATGTTTGTCAGATTGATTGATACAGGATCTTGGATTTCGGATTCATGTGAGGTAACAATTTAAAGATAAGCTCCAAAACACCACCAAAAAAGATAACATTACACTCCTACTGACACCGAAACCCAGGTGTATGATGTGGGAGATTTATAAAAAATATGAGGTAGATAGGGAATGCTTCAACCTTCCTATTCAGAACTGTTGCCCTGTGGGGTCAGGCCAACTCTCAGGATCTCAGTATTGCGCTGTTAGACAGGAGGGTGTGACACAATTGCACATATACAAACACACAAATCAATTAGGTGCACACACACACACACACACACACTACCAGCTCAGGCACATGCACACCCAAACCAGCCTAGGCACATGCATACCTATCACCAATTCAAGCACGTACACACTAAAAATTAGACAAAAATCAATTGTCAATACCTGCACACTCAGTATACATACACAGATCACTAATTTGTATATCATGCACTCAGTGATATTATTGATTTTTATATGTGTGTGTGTGTGTATATATATATATATATATATACACACACACACACACACACACACACACAACCCACCTACACATACACACAGGTAAGTTCCTAACTTGGATGGTACAGTGTGTATCTGTGTGCTTGGGGTACCTGGGGTAGTTGGGGGAAGGTTAAGAGTGAGAGAGAGTCAAAGTGTAGGGAGTGAAAGTTGCCAGAACCAGGATTAAAACTGTTGGACTAGAGAGAAGCTGGCTGAGGAACTGAGGCTTGGGGTTACTTAAGATCAAGTGGCCCCAGGGTTACTCAAGGTCACTGGTACAAGGGAAAGGAAAGGGAAAAAAAAGCCTGGTGGAGGAAACAGCCAGGAAAGAGAGAGAGAGAGACAGAAACCTAGGAGCTTGGGACAGAAAACTGAGGCAGACAGTTGATATATTGTGGATATTGTGAGGGGTAGATAAGTGGTGGCAAGGAGGAGACAGCCATGAAAGAAACTGAGGCAGAAACCTGGTTGCTCAGGGGAAAAGGAAAAGGCAGTGGGGATAAGATAGTGGCAAAGAAACAGGGGGTTTGGAGGCAGAGAGGAGCTCAGGACAGGTGTTGGAGGTGGCGCTGAGCCAGAAGCAGGAGAGGGAGAAATGAGACCGAAGTTAGAGGATCGAGGAGCAGACATTGGAGCAGGGCCAAACCATAGTAAAGCAAAACCCAACTTAGGGGTCCAAATAACAATTTTATTAAACAGACAACACGCTACACAGCCCCATGAAGTTATTGGTTCACACACACACACACACACACACACACACACACACAGCTATTTTTAGACCTGCTTCCATTGTCTCTCAAGCCCCCTCGTTCATCCCCATCATTCAGGAACCAAGTTACATAGGAGGGGTAGGTGCGAGTCATGGGTTACACAACCAGGCATGGGGATAAGATGGAGACTTGACACTACAAGATGGAAACTTGACATGACTTATGCTAACTTACATATATAGACCTAAAACAGTAATCACACAATATAAAAGCAGTAAAAAAAAAAAAATAAATTAAAAAAAAAAAATCAATACAAAACATAATAATTATCACTTATAAAACAGTGGATATCTATATCAAAATATCAAAATAGCAGGGCACTTATTTGCAAATAGGGGAGAGAAAAATAAAACTTACTACCTAAAATAAAATGTTAAAGCTTATCCTGCATCTTAGCTTACTTATACTTATCTAGGGAATAGAGACGGAGAGAAAAAGTCAGAAATGGTTGGGGAAGGGGAGGGAATGCATTTTAACATAAATTTTAAAAAGAAAAACTGGGGGGGTTGCTACAGAAATAGTCCTAAAGCTTCTATTTGACTATTCATAGTTACAACTGTACTTCACTGACAAACGTACACATAATATCCAACTTGTTATAACAAGTTATAGACTTAACGACCTCCATTTATTCTGTTATTTTTTATTTAAATACACACTATACAGCAGGCACAGTTTGTTCTTTTTTTAAGACACTGTTAATGCATTGAAAAAAGCAGCAGGCAGAGTTTAAAAAGTGAACCTGAGTAGCTTTTTATTGCTGTAGCTCAGAATTCAGTTCCCTGTTATGTATACTGTACACAGCTATAAAATCCTTGGGTTTTTGCCTGCAGCTGGCCATTTATGAAGTAACTGCTCATAGAAGTCCCTTAGTACAAACTGCATTTATAACACAGTTGTTCTGAAACCTGTTCCCCTATCATAAGTGTTATCCTTAGGATTTTAACATGTAATCATTGGATCAGAGGAGTTACTATGGTTTCTATAGAACTGCAACCATGCTCAGATCATTACAAATCAATAAATCAAAGTCCTCACCATAAGGACCTTCCAGTATTTAAATAAACAAGCAGACAAGTGAGAGGAGATGGGCTACAATAAAAACAAATCAAACTGAGCCCCTAGGGAAGAGAGACAGAAAAAATTGAATTAGATCAGTCACCCACCCAATTCAACAGGAGGACACATTCCTTTTGGAAGGTCAGATCACCGTCACTGCATTCATTTTAGCCCAGAGGGTTAACTATTAAAAAGAAAAATACAAAAAGCTTTACAGTGTAAAGACAAAGCAGCACCTGAATCACCCCCAAATCCAAGTTTTCTGCATTTTATCCCACTTACAAATGTAACACTTGAATTCTCTGCTTGAAAAGAAGTTGTCAGAAAATTTCAATGACACCTCATTTACTCAGATCTGGTCTGTGCCAGAAGCCTACACCAGATACTCAAGAGAAATAAATATCCCTCCCATGGTCATCCTAATGTATTTTACCCCTAGTATATGCTGAATAGCAAAGGATCTCCAGTTCAGTTTTGCTTAGTAGAACAACCAGTTACGTCAACATGGATTTCCCAGTTTCTACCATAGCACATTTGCACGGGCTGTGTTCCCAAAGCTGATGAACTAACATCCCTAAGTACATGGCTTGGAAAACATTCCCCTTTATGTCTGTATTAAGCTAAAGATCACAGTAACCTTTTAGGCATAGAAAGGAAAAAACAAACATACAGTATCTTCCCTTGCTAGTTACAAGCAAAATAAGACTTCTATGCTATATTGGCAGAATGGAAGAGGAACGAAGAGGTCAGTAGGAGCAAGACAGCAGCCAAGATAAGGGCCAGCTCTTCTGTACTGCCCTTTGGAGGCTTGTTTGTGTACTGAGGCTTAGTTGGCATATGGAGAAATATATGCTCACTACACAGCACCATTCTGGGGGTCAGGAATGGAATGTACCGTCTGCAACCCTCATGCCCAAGCAAGAGAATGTTTCGACTGAATATTTCACAAACAAGAAGTTCCAGAATGAGTAGCAACGGCACAAGGAAAATAATATCTTTTTCCCTGAGAAGGCATAAGTACATTCTTGGGCCATAAAGTAACAGTCCCTTATTTAGTCTTTGCTCTTACTCTCTTAAAAATAAATAAATAAATAAAATTCAACACATCTCTTAGCAACAAGTTTAACCACCAAAGGAATCTGCCTCCCTTTTTTCTAATAAAACACAAACCCCTTTTGTGTCAGCTTAAGTTTTCTAAGTGCTGAGGGCCCTTTTTTCTCTCCCAAATACCTGTCACTTTTGTAAGATAAGTGGGGCATAACTTTTGACCTTTAAAAATAAAGGAAAAAAAGAGGAATTCCTCCCTCCCTATCCCAACCTCCCTGCACACACTTTTTTGTCAAGCCCAGCTAGTTGCATAGCTGAATTTCTTTCTCCAATCTTAGTTGTGATGACAGGAAGAAAGAGTGTAGAAAAATATAGTGTGTGTGTCTCCATCTCCTACTTTTGTTCACAGAATTGCTGTTTTTAAACCAACTTTAATCTGGGTTAAAATCCCAGCTCATGGCCCACACACAAAGGGAATGTGGTGATCTCATCCTAGTTCCAAGTACATTGATTTTCAACCTTTTAGGGCAATTTTGTATCTAACAGATCAAGCTACGTCTACCCAGTAAAAACTTATTGTGCTCCAGATATGGGGCCCTCAGGCTGATTGTATTGCTCTAGGCAGGCTTCTTTCTGAACTGCCACACCCATAGCACTTCAGACAGAGTGAGTGCCAATAAGTCTATTCCCTGCATTGACATGACTTCTGGTACAACTCTGCCCTGCCTTTTGTCTCATCTAGGAAGTCATTCTGGAGCACAGCTTTACACAGACTAAAGTGCTGATCCAACTCTAATTCCAGTCACTTATTTCAACAGAGGCAGCAAATTGTGATGGCCTGAAGCTCATATAAGCTTCAGTGGTCAAAGGCAGGGTTTATTTGGGTACAGCACATAACACCTAGGGGTGCCTATACACGAGTAATTACTGAGCATTGGAGCAGACTCAATTAATCAAGTCTGCTGGAGCATGGTAATTACTGAGCTCCAGCAGACTCCAGCATCTCATATCAGCTTCCCTGCACTTAAAAATGGTGGTGGGGGTGGTTTAACTATAGCTAGTTCAACGTGCTTTAGTTAAAGCTCCCCTGCCACCATTTCTAAGCGCAGGGACCCTGATACATAGAGCAGCTCTTGGAGCTGCTCTAAATAAAAGTGCACCTCCCCAGAGCACGTGGAGAAATGCCCTTGATGCCCATCAGCTCAGTTTGAACAAATCACCAAAATTCTCACTGTAAACAAGGCAGTGAACTGAAAAGAAGCCACATCATCCCAATACAGAGTTACACAAACCTACTACTACATTAGAGATTGTTGTGTAGCATCAGCTGAACTCATACAATTGAATATGAAGCGGGCAGAGACCAATAGGCCAGTTGCATTGTTTAGATGGGGGAAGGGGCTCTACTTTGTTCTGAGATAAACAAGAGCATAAAATCAGTGTCTGACTGGGAGTTATCCCTGGTTTATACCAGCATAAAGTGTCATAGTATCAAGATAGAGAAGCCTAGAAAAAAGTGGCCAGATCCCCCAATCTGGTAAACAGGCTTTACTCCATTGACTTTACTAAAATTATTCTGTTTTACACTCATTGTGAACTAGGTCTCAGTCATTTTGTGAAAAACAGTAACCAAAAAACAGTGCTATGAGGATATTTAAATGCTGGAGAAGCCTGTTCTGACATAGTACAGACATTACTTTTTAGAATGGGCATGAATAAAGATGTCTGGATTAGGAAGCTTTTACCCTGACTGCCTGGGCACATTAAAACTTGCTTCCTAAAAACGAGAAGCAACACTCTGGATTTGAAAGAACTGGTTCTCTCAGTGAGATTGTCTTGCAGTCACTCTGGATAAACAGTTTCCCACATCACAAAAACTTTCAGGAAGGAGACCCAGACTAGAATTAGTGTGCAAGGCTAAATTATATCTTGCCTTAGAAGAATGTGGCACAGCTTATCCGAGTGAAGGTCATTGACAGGTCAGTGCAGTTTACATTTCAGCTGCCTAGCACTTACCTTGTGTAAAAGGCAACTCTTTTGACAGGCTCTTAACCTACTTAAACAATAGTCCCTGCTCTCTCCAAAAAAGTCAGAGGGAGGATAGAAGAAACAAAAAATCCCAGCAGAGTTGAGAGAATCATTTTACTCCCCCTTTTCCCTAGTAATTTACAGAAGGGGACGTGAGGTACTATAAAAGCCAAAGCTACTGGAAACATTTCCTGAACAAGAATTTATACATAGTCTGATTAAAGACATAAAGGATATACCCAAGAGGTAAAAAGTCCCTCCTCAGTTACACCAGGCAAACTCAATGATTGAGTCAATGGGGTCACAGCCATGTAAGTGAACTCAGAATTCAGCTAAAAGAAAGAATAGGAATAGAAGAGAAGCTCCCCCCCCATGCTTCTGTAACTTCTTTGCAGAGTTCTGGCTTTGGAGGCTGGTATAAAAATTGGCATAAATCCAAGTCCTCAGTAGAGCTTTGCTGAGCACCACCATCTGAGGACCTGACCCTGAATCACCCCTATGTCTCACTTAATTTACTGCAGGTTGATGTAGAAACTAAGAATTTAATACGCCATGCTGGTTATTCCTTCCCCGTTTTAATTATAGGGACGTTACTTGGACCAGTAAGATTACTAAAACCCAAAAGTGAACATTTCATCACCTCCTCACCCTGTTCATCATACCTTCTCGTCTTATTCTCATTTATTCTTCTCTTCCAATAAAAAGCCTCCCTTCTGTCAGGGACAGAGTTGACTTTTTAATGTATATACTATGGTTCTTTCATTTTTTTAAACTCAATCTCAATATTAAGTTTACCATAAAGCCTTTCTTTTACTCTTTCACTTCTGAAGTGTTAGGATGTTGTGTGTAATGGACACTCTGGAAAAAACAGACTGTATTTCATTAATAGCCATTTGCCAGCAATTAGATAAAGTCATGATCTTCTACTTGGATTCATAAAGGTCATCGTCATTATGATTTAGCTGAGTGTTTCTGCAGAAAGTAGACAATAGAATATAGCATGCAGCAGATAACATTATCCTGCTAACTGTCCTTAAATCTGCAGGTGCCTCAGTTTACTAGCACTATTGTGACAGGTGGGGAGAGAAGGGAGAAACTAAATTAAGTTTACACACTTGCTTGAATTTGTCATGCCAATTCAAGTTTGGCTGTAGGATCTGTAATTGAAATTCATGCTCAAGTGGTTGACAACTCCAAGCTGAACCAAATCAAAGTACCTAAAGAAAAAACAAAATCTTTAGAGACAGTATTATTTAATAGGCAGGAGGATGTTTCTAGTCCTCATGGGGTTACATCTCATAGGCCTTTAAAGAAGAGCAGTCACAAATCAACCATTTACATTAGGAGGTCAGAAAGACATGGTGGAACAAATTTTACCTTCTATTATATGAAGGTATACTCAATCAGATTAGTGAAACTGCCTGGGTATAAATTAAAACAGAATATAATACATTTTTTTTCTTTAAAGTACTAAGAACCAGATCTTTATTCCACTATTGAATACCTAGGTTGTATTTAGGTCTCTAAAACCACTGACATATGTTCATTTAAAAGGCATAATGGGCTCTCACCCCGCATATGCATGGCAGGATGTGGGATTTTGGGATCAGAGATCAGAGTCTAATTGTACCCTAATTGCTGGGACAGGAGGAACCCACTAGCAAGTTGAAAGCCAGGTGCCTAACAATCGGCTGACTGTCATCCAGGTTGTCATCAGGGTTCCCACTGGCCTGGTGTGGTCCCTACTGGCTAGCAATCAGCTGATTGGGACACACAGTGGATTGGGACACACACTGAAGCTCCAACCGGCCCAGTGCCATCCTTGCCAGCCAAAGACAGCTGACTGGATCACCAGTTGGAGCCTCACTGAGGTCCTGATCCAGCCAACAATTGGCTGATTGTCTATCCACGGGGACCATGCAAAGCCAGTTGGAGCACCTGTGCAATCAACCAACTGACAGCTGACAACCAACTGTCTGCAGGTAGGGACTGTATTGGGACCAGTTGAGACCCAGTGTGATCCACCCTGCCACATACTCAGTTTAAGGCATGATGGGAATCTAGCCACAAAATTCTTACATGTATTTTGTGAAAAAGTGTTGTGGTTTATTTTCTTTTTTATTGTGCCATTAGTTGTCTGAACAGATATGTAAATAGGTTACTATTTAAAATGGGATTAACTGGTTAATCATGTATTAAGCGTAACATTTGTCAGATGCCTTAGTATTCTAAGTACAATCATATTCCACCCTGTTCCAAACCCTGAAAAAACAGGATAGACAAGATGCTGGATCCTTGCTGCTTTATGTCCCTTAGTCGTAAGGCTATGATCAAGGCACATTACAGAAATAAATACATTCCAGGATCTCAAACACCATGGAATAGGATTGCAATTTAGAAATAGGATGCCCAATAGATGCAATAGGATCTGCCTTGGAGCACAGAGTCTTAATAAGAAATTGTAATGCTTAGAGTTTATATAGCACCGTGCAAGCTCAAGAGAATCAGAACTGGGCCCCAAATAAGCAGAGACTTCTACTGTCTCAAAACCGAATTATTGTCATATGGGAGAAAACTGAGCCAAAGTCTGTACCACTGATTGTGGGAAAAAAGCACCGAAAAAAGAAGTCACACAGGGAACAAAAAATTATGGCTGCAGTTTGGAATAAACATGCGGTACAGTAGCTTTCTGCAGCTAAATAAAAACCAATTGTTCTTAAAGGAACAAAACAGCATAAATAAATAATGGTGTTCAAGAAGGCATAGTAACCCATTTTGGACATGTTTCATTTGTCTCTTTGGTGACTGATGATCTCTTAGGAATACGTAGTTTAGCATCTTAAATAGTTTAGGAATCTAAAAACAATGACTCTTAACAGCTTTGAAACATGCTGTATTTCCTCCTAGTGACATTAACTGGCTAGAAAGAACAAGTGAGAAAACAAGATATAGGAGGAGATTTAATAATTAGGGAAATTCACATTTGTGATTTCTAGAAGATAGTTTTCCCTTGTAGTCTTCAAGGTGGACAACTGATTTCTGTGAATGTGGAGTAATGTTTTTTTTTCCTTCCTTTTCTTGTTGCTTCTCCCTCCATCCTTTTCCCCAGAGGACTTACATCTTTACTTTTCTACTGAGCTCACGAGTCTTTATTCACCCACATGAACTCCTGGCAAAAGTGGGGCAGATCTGCATTAAACAGAAGCAACAGCTTGAGATGGGGACCGAGGCAGAAAAGGTAAATGAATGAACAATTGTTTCTGCAATGACCTAAGCTTCTGCCACATTTAATTTTTCTCTTTCCTTTTTTTTAACTGTACACATACATAAAAAAACAAATGGACATAGGGAGAAGTATGTCACAGAACTGGTGACCTCTGTGCTTACATCACAAAGCTCTGCTAAATAATTTAAATGGGCTGCAGCTTTATAGTACTTCCTTCTCTAGTGGGCATACACTGTAGTGCCTTTGGTCACTGTGAGATACTGAATATTCAAATTGTTACAATAGGCTTTTTAAATATTTGAACAACTAAGTATAGCAAAGATTGCAATTTGGTGTGTCACAGATTTCAGTTTATCAACAAAGGCAACTCTGCAGGTCTTATTTATATTCTTAACTGACTGACTTTAATAAACAGATACCAAGTGTACTAATGAGGGGCAACCACCCAGCAGGTTTTGGTTTCAGTAAGCAAGAAGTCTGATACAGCTTTTGAATCATTTCCCAAACCTTCACCCTTCCTGCTCTGCAAGCAGCCTATGGAATGCAAAGCTTACAAGAACAAGCTTTCTCGGGCCTTCGTTCCATTAAGGAAAGTTTTAAATAGCTTCCCACCAAACTGGCTTAAATAGCTTGCCAAAATTGGTTCAGCCCCAATGGCATATGTTTCAATAGCAGTAAACAGGCACAGCAGTAGGGACATGTAAAGAGCTCTCTGTTTGCCTGGCAACAACTCAGCCCCAACTGGCCCTTGGGATTACACCATTTGAAACCTGGCTTTTTTCTGCAACTCCCCTCATCATACCACAATACAATCAAATACTGAGCACCTTACTGTAAACTGACTGAAAGGCGAAGGTGATGTTTTAAGCCCTGTGTCAACTGGAAAATCTCTGAGCAAGGTTAAAATTTGATAGTGTAGTGCTTAAAATTGTAACTTGGCAACAAATGACAGAGCTGAACCTATGTTGATAGCACTGATATATATTTGAAAATTTCCAGGTTTTGTTTTTTCTGTTAGGAACATTTTTTCTTGAACTATTGTGGTATTTCAGATTTCATCTGATATTGGGATTTGCTGAGGGACACAGGAATGGGAGGATACCAGAAATATTATCAATGCTGTCAGTGACGAGGATTCAGATCCAGTATACAGGCATGTTTTGAGACTGTTCTTTTTGAGTCCCCAAATCTGCAATGCAATTACATTTGTAATTTTAGGCACAGTAATAGTTGCACTGCTTAAACACCTTGTTGAATCAGCTTCAGCCAATTAAACTGTCCATATACATGAAGAATGAATTTGATTGCAATCAGGAATGAAACCTTCCAAACTCACAGGCAGGATACTTAGGTTTAAAAATAATTGAAATACAAATTGAGAAGCCTCATTGCTAAACAGTATACTTCAACATATTCCTGCTAAAATAAGCCTCAGCCATTCAAATGTAGTGGCTATTTTTGCTTAAGACATGAGATGTAAGGGCAGGGCATTATGTGTGGAACTTTGACACTCAGTGGCATAGAAAACACAGGTAACTTACACACACAGATGACGCGGCAAGAAAAGCAAGTAGCAGAAGGATATCAACCAGAGCCATTCACACTCCTGACATGCATACTCTTACACCTTCTGTTGACAGTTTGGAAACAGGCCTAAAGGAAAAATCAGCTAACAGCAGGGCATGAAAATAAATCGTGTGCATTTGGGAGGCTGCTTTACTTTACACCTCCTGTTCACTATTTTTTTTCCTGCTTTACCCCCTCCCCTCTCTCCCCTGCAAAGTCCTATCAGCCTCCTCTTGGGTCAATTACACTTGTTTTCTATGCTCACTAGACACAAAATTATGATTCTGTATGATTTGGATTTGTTTATGCAAATCACACTTCTGTGCATCTTGTGGGCCTCTGTGTGCCTTTGGCCAGCAATCTTCCACTGGTGTTGCACGAGCTTACACCCAAGAAGAATTTGGCCTGTTAACATTTGCAAATCATTTGCTTTATTTAGCTACTCTGTAGGAACATAACACTGATCTCACAGGTGATGTGGAGCTTACCAACTGAAATCACTCTTCATGGAACCTAATGGATCATGACTGGGTTTCAGCATCTGCAAAAACCTTTGAATTGAAGTACTGCTGCAGCAGGAAGTCACTAGCACAAAGAGTTAAATAGAGCTGATGCTTCTTATAAGAGATTTGCATAAACAAATCCTAAATAAAAAGCTGATTCCCTTGTTATTTGGGTAGTGCATAAATATGAAGCGCTGGCAAGGAGCCAGTCTGAGGTTATGCACCACAATGCTTATCATTCCCACATTTCTGACGTCACAGCCCTGTAGAAAGTATTCCAAGGCACTAGCTGACAGATTAAAAAGGAGTGTGTTCTAGTCTGTCAAGTACACCCTGTAGTAGTACCTGGTGACCAGCTAGAAAACAGGTCTCATAAGTTAGGGCATCAAGTGCAATCATAAACCCTTTCAGTAAGAAAAAAATTTAATTTTCCAGGAGCATAGCAAGATCAGACAGGGCCAGAAGTGAATGGTTCAGAGAACACCAGTGTTGCCCAAAAATAAACATAGTTGCTGAAAGTGTGGTATATAAGGAATGAGGAAATGGTTTTGCATAAGAAAATGTTTGTGCCCAAGGACAACTTTGTTTTGAATTATTATTTAACTTGGATCGTGACCAATGTCTTCCATTGCCTGGAATTGTTCTACCCATCATTTTAATTAAGTCTATTTTACTGCAGACACAAAGAAAGTATACAAGCTTCTAACAAATTTTACCCTACCAAACCACCCCCTTATTAAAGGCTTCCCTTTCCTACAGCTCCTCCAGTTAACCTAATTCCTGACCCTCAGTGGTCTGCACCCTGCAATGTGAGACAGTCATTGTCCCTATGGTTCTGGATTGGCACAGGTACTGAAGACCATGAGAGTGAATTAAAGAGTTTTTCTTGAAAGGTAGAGAGCTATCATTAAATCTAGCAAACACTACAACTTACCTTATATGTCTGCTATCCCTCTGCCAGTGTTGAGTACTGAATTCACAGTCTTTTTTTTTTTTTTTTAAAGAGAGAAAACAAATAGTCAGAGCTTTCATACGTCAGGTGGTGAGCCAACTTCAGGGGAGCAAAGACAATTTAAACTGAGGAACTGGACAAGAACCTTGCTATATTCAATAGATATCAATTCACACTTTTTACTAAGTATTAATGTGCTGTGTTAAAATGTGAGAGGGGATGTGAGAGTGGGCAAGAGTGTGGAGTTGTCTTCCTATAACAAAGCACTCAAGGTCTCTGTCCTATTTTGCAGCTGTGGATAGTCATTATGTGGTGCAGCGTTAAGCTAGCCTTGTCCCCTTTTAAGGGCCCTTTTCTATCGTTCCTTGAAGTGAATGGGTGTGTTCTCCTAACTTCACCAAAAGAAATATTCATTCCCACAGAATCTAAAAAGGTTTGGATCAGGCCTCAGAAGACGGGACATTTCAAATCTGAAGCAGAGATATGGAAGAGTGAGGAGGATATAATTTTGGAAGCATGTCATAAATGTGCCTGTTGCTGCCACCCACACAGATCTTCTCAATGTTGTATCTGGGTTATCACAGATACATGCATCAGCAGAAGCCAGTCCCTCTGTGCTGTGTTTTATCAGCATGCACATGAGATAGGAATCTCATATTTTGTTGTGGGGATGGTTTCCAGTGTTGCACTCAAAAGGAACATCTCGTTTTCATCAGCCATTCTAAGAGACTGATGAAATAATAAGTTTTTGTACACCTGTGTTCTTGCAGGGTAACGCAGCTTGTAGTTCATTTTACAAAAGATTCCCAGCTTTCCACAGGGACAAATCCTGACTACTTGTGAATGTGCTAGAGAAAACACACCTCACCAATAAAACATTATTCTAAGTAAATGCTCAAAGCACCACAGAGCTTTACAACTTTGAGGAAAGAATGTGGATTCCCCCACCCAAGCTTCCAAATGTAAAAGATGCATTGTCAAGATAATCAGTATTAAAAGCAAATGTACAGATATTTGGTGATGTTAGATGTTAAAAATGGCCACCTGATCAGGATGCAAAAGGTTAGTGGGGGTGCTTGGGGAGATCCAGGGGACAAATAGGGTCCGTGGGGGGAGGGATCAGAGAGGCTCTCTGATCCCGCCCCCCCCCAACCCTTCCTCTGCATTACCTGCCACATGCCAGAAAACTTCCTCTGAATACAACTGTGTTGGCCCCAGCAGCTTTACCTGGGGTCCTGGGGGCCTTGGGGAATTGCAGCCACAGCACTCCTGCAGCTCGGAGCCTGGGTGGCAGCCAGTGTGACTCTGGCTGGCCAGGCTCTGGTTTGGGGCGGTGTGCACTGCTGCCATATGAGCTACCCACTTTTTTTCAGTGTGGGTTTTTTTGACCCCATGAGATCTCCCGGGGCCAAAAAACCCCATGCGAGGTAGCAGTGCAGGGAACACCTGCATGTGCAACGTGGCACACATCCGCACTCATCTGGACATGGCCATGGAGTGCAACTTACATTCTTTTATTAAGCAGCCCCGGCTCCCATTCCCACTCTCTTAGTAGTTCATTTCTGAAATGTCCAAACCCTGTGTGATCTAATTTTAAATTCATATTAGCCATCATTAATTCCCACACTGATTGTACTTCAGTGAGCTGTTAAAAAGAAAAAAAGTCAGCATAAGCAGCCAGTTAATAACAACAGACAGGGAGAGTTCTTTCATAACACTGACCCGATGTTTGGGAGGGAATTCCCACCAGGGTTCTGGGAAGACATTCTCTTTCGACTCAATGGAAAACCCATTCGTTTCCTCAACTGCTACTTTTACTTGCTAGTTCATTTTCGGTGGATTCCAGCAGGCGTGGTGGGGAGGTAACTAGAGGGAAGTACCTTGCCAGTTCCGAGGAGGAACTGCAATTTGCATAGTGGAACTTTTTTAGCTGACAACTGAGACTGTAAAAACCCAAATACTTATTCACAACAACAATCTTCCTCTTTTTTAGTGCTTCATTTATTCTTAGTAAGTCTCTTAATCGGAGATAAGGATCAACAGGACTAAAATTAGATGCTTCCTGTCCCATCAAGAGCAGATTCTGTCCTTATTTAGACAATGTGTTCACATGGATTTGTACTGACTACAGGGAAGAATTTGGCCCTTGGCAAAATGCAATGTCTCTCCCAAATGACTAGATATTGTCCATAATTTACTCTAGCATTGGACAGACATCGGCAGTTACTGAGTTTTGCAGAGTAACAAAAATGTCATCTGCCTCTTTGAGCATACCTTGACCAACACAGTATCTGACATCATGTTTCCTGCCTTCCCAATTGGGATTCATCACCTTCTGCACAATAAGACAGTTCTTGCCAGGAGTGCTGTTTGAGGTGCAGCATCTTAGATAAAAATGAGTGAGAACGTGTGTGCAGTCTGCTAGAAGGCACTCAGTGGAGGTGCTGCTGCATTATGACACTGTGGTGAGCTATTCTAGCTTTGTCAGATAGTACGCAACTTAACAAACCATGTTTCTAGCCAAAGTTGAATTTTACTGATAGCTTGGATAAAATGCCAAGTAATCATGGAGTATGGGGAAGTATTGTTTATTAGCACCGTCTCCAAACCTTACAAGATAACTCCCTCGATTTTACTAGTGCAACTCTCTTTCCCCACATAGACAGAAGTAACTGGCATCTCAGTTATATCTGATAGAATGTCCCTGGAGCATTCACTTGTAAGTGACCAAGCTAGAAAATAGCTTCTCCTTACTTTGAATGATGGTTTTTTTGTGTAAGAGCCAACATTTTACTTTCAAGGTCCATTTGGTTTTAAACGTAGCACAATTGAGTGGGTCTGATAAATTTCTAGAAAAGAAAAATTTTCTTTGTAAGAGCTTCATGTGAAAGACACTTTGGTTAGAATGCTGTAGCCTGCATATATCTGAATCAAGATAGTCCCCTGACCTTCTGCTAATGTAAATAAGAAACAAATCTACTCCCCCTTGGAATTGATTGCATGCACTTGCACAGACCTACCATTGTCCTGACTTTTTCTAACTAGCTTTAAAAAAAATTATCTTCAAAAGGAAGCATTAGTGGAGTCAGGCCATCAGCTGTGAATCTGATGCTGTACAATTTTAAATTAGCAATGGTTTCTTTGCACGATACCACTGCAAAGATTTTTCAGCTGTGGATAACAGTTTAATTTTTTCTGTCAAGCAAACACTTCCTTCAAAGGCCGTAAAAAAGGCCTGTGGGTCAGTAATTAACTAATCTCTATTGCTCTTTAGGCAAAGCTAAAATCCTTTGCTGCCAAGATCATTCAGCTCCTGAAGGAATGGACTGAAACATTCCCTTATGACTTCCAAGATGAGAAATCTATGAAAGAGTTGAAAGAGATTGCTCACCGGATCACACACTGCAATGAGGTATGGTGGGGAAAATAACCCAATATACAAGAACAAGAATGATACTAACTTAGAACTAGTTTCTCTCAACATGTCAGGTTTGCTCTCCTACTTTCTTTACATTTCCTCAGCAGTGGCTTAACTCAGTTTAGTAATGCTGACAGCTAAGTGGTGAACTTAAGGGTCAGTTAGTAACAAACTCTATATAGCGATTTGCACTTGAACCAGCACCAGATTATGGTACAGAAAATGAAATGGGAGGGAGGAGATGGAAGACTGGTTGTAAGGAATAACACTGAAATTGTAAAATATCGGTAAGAAGGTCGGGTCTGGAGGTCTCAGGCTTGGTTCCCAGTGATAGCCATGATGACAACAGTAACATTACCAGGTGTGATGCTATGTTTATATTAGCTCATCAGATTTCCTTTGAGCAACAGTCTATCTATTAAACTCTGGTCACATCACAAATCCAAAATCTTTGAAGATATTTTTAAGATGAGTCACAAAGAGCTTGAGGTACAAAAGGATTTTATGCATGCTTTGTTGATTTGTGTGCAGAAGAATGAAAAGCAACAAGTCTGACAGAATTCTGAAAGGTAGTTATAAGACACGATGCACTCGCACACTGCGTCAGTCCTCAGAAGGAAGTAAGCCAGTTTTATTGTATTGACAACATTGTTTACCCTCCATACTACCAAGGAAAAGTCAGTGTCTTCAAATGGAAAAGGAGGAAGGATTATGGTATGCCATCTGCCACAGTTATAAGTGCAGGGAAGGCCAGAAGTTGATTGGCAGGGATCCTACCATGACAGGAGGGTTTTTTTCTTTTTCTTTTTTTTAAACATCTGCCATTTGCAGTAAGTCCAGATAATTTGCAGTAAGTCCAGATAATATAGCCTTCTGGAAATGCTGTGGCTCCCCCCACTCCGCAAGATCCATTGTGCACAAAGAAATTGCTAGTTGCTAAGTGTACTTGCCTTGTTTTATAAAATAGCTCAATGCACTGGTTGTTGAGGTTTCTGGTACCATCCATTTATTATGGTATAACAGCATTTATCCCTTAAACAAGGCTACATACCAGGTTCTCAGTCTGCAAAAGGCTAGGTTGCCTCTGACCCCTAGAAATGTAATTTGATGACCTGACAAATAGTAAACGGTTTCCAGGATCACTTCAGGCCTATTCTTTTATGCTGTAATAAATTACTTAACAGTGTCTAAGCAACACCTTTTCAGCTTTTACCTTTCCGGCTTCCCCAGGGAAGCTCTCCTTGAAATACAAGACATTATGAGTTAATAGAGAACAGATGCAAGACAACAGTACTGAAGATGACAGTATATTTGGTCTGGAAACTTGAGGATGGCAAAACAAATTGTCATGCTTGAATAAGCAAAGATGTAGGACAGATATGATCCCAGCACAGGTAGGCAAGACACAGGCATATTACAGACGCAGTTCTCTGGAGGATCAACTCACATCTGATGTGCAAGACATTACTAAGATTTAACTGACCCTTGTTTAGGATCTTTCAGGATGCAGTTTCTTCCAACATTCAGGACCATGCATTTGAGTTTAGGATTAAGCAACAGCCCTGTTCAGAGTCAAATTTACTTCTGACATCAGCAAGGGTGAGTTGTGTACTCAATGGCACTGGAAGCAAGCTGGGAGAACTTTAGGGTAAAAAGACCACTGGGAAAAAATAAAAGTCAAGCTAAAACAAAATCATCAATCTAGAAGACTGTTTGACTATAGTTGCAAAAATAGGTGATCTCTAAATTTAGAGTAGCTTTAGCCACTATTTAATTTCCTGTTTCCATATGATTCACATCTGGGGGGGGGGGGGTGTGTCATTCCCTTCTCACTTACACAAGTGTCAGTCAGACATAACTGAAAGCATGGATTTACAGTATAAAATCCAACATAACAGGGATTAGACTCTTAAAGAACACCCTATCCCCATATTTCTAGACATGTGTAGCACAATAGCAATAACAGTTTCAACCAGCTGCTGTTTAGCAATAATCCAGTTGCTTCACCAAAATAAGATATGCTGCCTTCAGCTTCTTATTTGATTCCAGTTGGAAACAGATTATTGCTTTGTAAAGAAACATTCTGACAACATTATTGCTTAATTATCATATACTGTATACAAGTATTTAGTAGTCATAGTCTCTCACATCTGTTACATAGGTTTCGGTCATCATCACATGTTAATGGCATCGTTGAATAACTACAGACCTATTTCAGTTCTTTGAAATGCATCCAGTTAACTCTGGCTGCAGACACATGACAGCAACATTAACCCTTAGATGGCCGTAGTACCAAGCAAATGAGGCAGGGAAAATAGGTGATTAATTGCATAGGGAAGAAAACAAGGAACATTATCAGAAACATTAGTTAACCATAGAAAAATGGGGCTGGAAGGTACCTCAGGTCATCTACTCCAGTCCCATGTCCATGGCAGAATTGTCTCTAGCTCAGCTATCCTAGCCAAGCATTTGCCTAGCTCACTTAGTGGTTCTCAGCCTTGTTAGACCCAGGAAGCCTCTTGAAAAATGCCTGCTCTTAGTATTCACCGTTTTCCTGACTACAGAAAACTAGAGTAATTCTTCTGTTGCAAGAACTCATAAAGACTACAACAGGTCATAATGCTTCTGATACTGTGGCTTTCTATGTGAAATCTCTGGATTTAACTTGTGAATCATGTGTAGGTGCTTGCACATTTTAGAGGGCCAATAATGCATGACACCCCTATAGAATATCATGGCACCCCAGGCTGCCACAGCATCATGGTTGAAAATTACTAGTTTAACATGTTCTTAAAAACTTCCAGGTATGGAGGTTCCACAACCTCTAAGTAATTTGATTTGTTCCAGTGGTCAGCCACCCTCATAATTAATAAACTCTTCATGATATCCATCCTAGATTACCTTTGTTTCAAATAAGACCATTAACTGTATGCCCTGTTCCTGTGTGAGACTGCCAAGGGTCAGAGCAGCTGGGGCATTTAGAAGGTGCTGCAGCGAGATACAGGCACTGGAAAGTGAACTCTACCATGGAGTATTTGCATCTTCTCCTTTTGACTGGTTGGGTGTGAAAGCAATTATTATGCCAAGCTAGAACAGTGCAGGAGAGTCTTCCAGCCTGGGAATTCCCAGGAGTCTGTTCAGGGCAGCCAGACTTTAGTTATGTGTGCGAGTCTAATAAATACTTTGTCTCTGTCAAACGAGAAAGAGACCAGAAATCATTATGCTGACTTTCAGTCTTTCATTACTCCTGTATCTAAGTGACTAATAAACCTTTTGAAATGGATTTGGAGCCAAAATGAGCTGCTACAATGACAGCCAAGCTACTGGGAGCACAGTTATGGAGGAGGGGGTTAAAATGTTAGTAAAGCTACACAGATGCCTAGGGTATCCTGAGCTGGGCTCAGAAACCACATGATAAAGAACTTTGGTAACTGGATAGAAGATAGGATGCTAGGCAGCATTTATGTAGCTCAGGTAGAAATTCCTTGTTGATACAAATCCCTAATCCAAAGTAAAGGCTCTTAATCAATGATCCTCCCCTCTTATGCTCAGGAAAATGGAACTGTGAAGAAGATCATTAGCCAGATGACACAGAATCTGTTGATGACCCTCTCAGCACGGAGTCAATACCAAGAGATTAGAGAGAAATTTCGGCAACCTGTTGCTGATAAAGGAACCATCCTTAAAAACAAGCCGCAGTCAACTCAGAAGGACATACTGAGTGTGTGTTGTGACCCTCTCATCTTGGCACAGCAGCTGACTCATATTGAACTGGTGAGATTTTGATGTTGCTCTTTTAAATCAGTTCACTTTGTTTACCATCTGTGAATGTGTTCTTGCCCAGGCATTAGGCTTCTGTCTTCAACAGGAGTCTTCAGCCTAATTAAATGCTGTCATCTAAATGGTGACAGTAATGAATGAGGGCAGGTAGATAGGTTTACGAGGGAGGAAAACATACATGTCCCAAAAATCCAGAGGCAACTTTATAACCCAACTATGATGGAAGCAACCACAGAGCCTCCCAAAATGTTTAGCTTCTTCTTCAAACTCTACTGACAGAGAATGAAGGTGAGGAGACCTCGCAGCCACAGTAAAAACTTCTTACCCAGGCCCCAGTTGGCACATGACAAGACCTACGGTCACAACTAAACAAAAGACAACACTTCTTGTTGGTTCCCTGGATCAAACAAAAAAAGTAGAACAAAGAGAATTGGAAAATATCAAAGTGGCCTTCACGCCTCAGCTCAATTCCCTGTCAACATCTGCATGTGTACAACTGACAACCTCTTCTGTCATTCTAATGCAGGAAAGGGTGAGCAACATTTACCCTGAGGATCTGATGCAGATTGTCAGCCACATGGACTCACTGGATAATCACAAGGTATGTGTGTAGGGGAGGAAATCAAGCACAGCCAAAGTAAAGAGCCTCAAGACTTCAAATATGTATGGAATATCTATTAAAGGCAAGGAGGCAGCACAACTCAATGGTAGTTCCACTTCAGCTACCTGAAGATGAGATGATTTGGTTTGGTAGCACTGAATCTAGCAAATTTTCAGTGCCCAAAGGGATATGTTATTCTGTTACTTATTCAGACTACTTTATGAACTGGCTACTACTACATCATGCTTTTTGAAACTGTAAGTATGTTAAATCCAACAAAGTTGATTAAGCAATCAAGTTCATTAGCTCTCTCTCATGTTTAGTTCCATTCAAATGGCTGAAAAATAAGACAATGTTCAAAGGCAAAGAATAACTAAATGTTGAACAGAGCATATAGGACATCACTCATAAGAATGACATCCACCAAGCAGAGAGGGTAGCCTACTGGGCTCACTTCTTTATACAAGTATTATAGCTCAAGAAGGTGGAACTTGCAGTTTCATATATTCAGTAAAGCAGTACAAGAATCCTGCAGCCTTAGTCTTGCTGCTTCTAACTGTGGGTTTCTTCCTGTTACATGTGGCCCTTTGTGGCCTGCAAAACAGCTGAGAGAAAGACAGGGACTGTCTCTTCCCCCAAGTTTTCTGATACTTTAACACTGGCACAATTAGAAATTTAAAAGACAAAAAAGGATGGAGACAGAATTGCCCTTTCTATGTATCCTATTCCTTGGTTCCTCAATAGCAGGAAAACTATGCAGAGATTAAAAAGCTTTATACAATGTTCTCTACACAAAAAGGTAGGAAAGATCCTTGCTTTTCTCATCCTTTTGATTAGGTATTTTAGCAGAATTTGCAGATATGTTGAATCTGACAGGGCTGTGCCATAAGCACTTCTGCTGTGGCCTCAACCCCTTGACCTCCGGGCATCCAGCCACTCACCCCAGTGCCAACACCGCCAGAACAGGCTGATAGGAAAGATTAATAATTCACATTACTAACCAATAATTCTGGCTCCAGGTCTTGTTATTGGCAGGGAATCCTTTAGAAAAATGTTGCTTAAAGCTAGCATGTCATGGTCTCACCTATTAACTTTCTTTTGTTGTTACCTTTAAAAAGGATGTTAAGAAGTCTGGACATACAACAGTATGTGTGTTTTGGTGAGGGAAGGTAAAGGGATAGAAAAAATAAACACATTTGGCCAAACCATAAATCCATGCCTGCTTCTTTCACAAATCTTCAGAGGAATAAAAAGAAGTATGTTCAGCTTGCTATTTTCTAAGAAGTCTTTTTCCTCTTAATCCAGAGCCATCCACTTAGATTTTCTAATTACTTTAAATGAAATAGGGGTTTATACTTAGTAACAACAGCACACATTTACTGTCATCTTCATCAGGATTTAGTATAGGATTAACACAGAGCTTCTTCTCTTTCAGTGCCGGGGTGATGTTACCAAAACCTACAACTTGGAGGCCTACGACAACTGGTTCAACTGCCTTAGCATGTTGGTAGCTACAGAAATTTGTAGGGTAAGTATGGATGAAAAGAAAATACCCAAGCAATCATTCCAAAAAGACAAAAAACCCACCACAATTATGATGTTACATGTATGGAACCAGATCCAGCACAATTTTAATCATATGAGCAGCCTCTTTAAAGTCAGAAAGGTTACATGTGTAGAGTTAGGTATATGCTTAACGTTTAAAAGTTCAGAATGTATTTCTGGGTAGTTTTTATGTTACCAGCAGTCATGGCCAAGAAATAAAACTTTACAAATGCTACACTGAATAGAATTTTATGAATGTTTTTATGGCACCTGTGTCTTCCCAAATTTGCCCCTCTGTAAACAAAGGTTTTTCTACATTGCAAACACACTGTCCTTTTAGTGCACTGTGATATCATGGTTATTGCCATCAGAATACCTTGTGCTGTTACAAGGACAAGGTTAAGGATCTTGCATAAGGATCAAGGGGAAGAAACAGGGCAAGCAGACAGACGATCTATGTTAAGAACTGTAACATACAGAGAAACATATTCAAGAAATGCTTTCCATTAATTCCTTTTCTATACAGATTTCCCCTCTCTCAAGTGAGTTCACCTTTCAACTCTTCTATAGCTCTGGGAAGAGCTCCGGGAAGAGCTCCCAAAACTCTGGGAAGAAAAATGTTACCACTTTGAAAACATTTCAGAGTAGAATGCACTTAGACCTCTGAAAGCTTAAGGCAACTACTTTAGCTGGTATAAATTAGCGCAACTTTTCTCCCTTTTATCATCTTTGGATATGACCACAAGTCCTTAGAACAGCAAGCACAAGGAAGATCCTTCTGCATGCCTTACTCCTAAACTGAAAAAAAAATTGGTTTTATGGGAAAAGGATAGTTCAGTTATCATGCCTGCTTTATCTACAGACCCTCTGCTAAAAGTACCATTGCTGGAGCTTCTGGAGACTCGCTTATTATCACTGATCTTCAGAATAACTGCTCCCATAATAAAAGTCACCATGGAATGATCTGTTAGTATTAGTGGCTCTTGGACAATCGCACCATAAACTAGTGATTAGTAAAGCCAACTTGCAGAACAGTCTCTGCTTACGCAAGATAAGTAAATCAGCAGTGCGGATGTCTAGTCTCATCCACTAGCAACACTGCAGTAAATGGGGATTGTTATATGTCAGCATCTTATTACATTTCCCTCATCTATCATCAATCTAGAGAGTTTGGATTAATCTGTTGATTTAGAAAGGGAAAACTTGGACCTTGGTAGCATTTGCCTTCCAACCTCCTTTATATTTCCCCCTGGAATTAATATATACAGACCCTCTAGCATACCCACATGGCATTCTTCTTACTTTGATACTTGAACTGTTTGCATATTTCTGGCATTCTGGTGGCTGCTTCATTCTCTCTCCCTTCTTCAGAGAAAGGAAATTACTTAATAGTGTCTAGCTTGCTTTTACAAGATTCCGTAAAACACTGGCTTTATCTTATGTATAAACAAAGAATTCCATGCTTCCACATGATAACAGCCCAAAATACTATAACTATTTTTAATAACGAAAGGAATCTTGAAAAAACACCCAGAAGACCGCCTCAAGAAAAACTCTTAGCTGGTGAAAAATGGAAATGCTTATAACCCCTCATCCAACATGCATCATTCCCTTAGTTTCAATGGGATCTTCTTTGTTTCAGGTTGTGAAAAAAAAGCAAAGGACAAGAATGGTGGAATTTTTCATTGATGTGGCAAGAGAGTGCTTCAACATTGGAAACTTTAACTCCATGATGGCCATTATCTGTGAGTGTCCTCAGCATTGTTGCTGACTTTAAGTCAAGAGCGCTAGACTTGACTTCTTAAGTGACCTTAGGTGTTTATCTAGTCCCTAAATTAAATCACTGGATCTGTATGCATATCCTTCCTGTGGTACCATGCACTGGTGACAGATTAATGCAGTGGGTGTTAGCCTGACAAGCTTCAGCTGTCAAGCTGAATGGCTTTCTAAAGTATAAAATGCACATTTTAAGTGCATTTTGACACTTAGTGCGGAAGAAACCCAGCCTTTGAATTTAGGTTTTATCTTTTTTTTGTTTTTCTTTTCTTTCCTTTTTTTTTTGCCTCTCTCCTGTCCTTTTAGCTGGAATGAACTTGAGTCCTGTGGCAAGACTAAAGAAAACTTGGTCCAAGGTGAAAACAGCCAAATTTGACGTCTTAGAGGTGAGTATATGTAAGATTAATATCCTATTTAAACAAGCGAAATGTAACAATGCCAACAGCACAGGCTGGGGTGCAGCATAAGTAACAGATATGAAGCAGGCACTTATACATTAAGGGTCCTCACTGTGTACATTGAGGCTGGCAGAAAAATACTTGCCATTTACTCTGTTTTGAAAATATCTCCCTATTGTGGAAAAAATAGGAAATAAATTATGTGTTGGAAAAATTTACCTCAAAGTGGTTTAAGATTCAATTCAAAGGATGTTCTTTGGCATTCCTCTTTAAAGCGAGCATTTTCCTCACCTCCCCCTGTGAAAAAGCTAAGGCCTCATTCCATGTGCTCCAGGGCACTTTAATTAGGGCGGCTCCAAGAGTCACTCTAAAGCACCTGCAGTGTCCTGTGCATCAGAGTCCACACAATTCAAAATGGCGACAGGGGGGCTTTAACCAACGCTCTTCGAACAAGTACTATAATTACAGCATGTTGGACAGCTTCCCCGGACATCTACAGGCACCCCTGGTCTTTTTTTTCCTTCCAATCCCGCCCCCATCCTTATCCCTAACTAAAGTGCTCCATCTAGTGGAGATTTGAAATAATACTACAGCTCAGGGCTGTCCAAATTTGAAGTGGCAAGGGGCCACATGGCCCTCAGGCCACACTAGCAGTGGCTGCATCCACGGAGGCCATGGATCCAGGGGCTGGAGCTTGCCCAGCCCCTGCTGCTGCACCAAGTACCAGGGTGCCGCCCCCCTCCCCCACCTACACAGCTTCCTGCATGCACCCAGGCACCCATTCTGCAGTACCATCTGCCTGGGTACCCTGACTCACCCGTAGCTTCCCTGAAGCAAGCTCTCTTGATGCAGCATTACTCAGGCACTCTAGGTTTTGGGGTCTACTGGCATTGAAGGCTGTGCTGGACCACCTACCCCCTGCAGGGCAAGAAGGGGAAGCTGGAGACAGAGGGAGCCTGGAGCCCCCAGCTGCTGCTGCAGTCAGAGCAGTGGCTGGGTGGGAGCCCTAGGGCCACAATTTAATCCTTCATGGGCCACACATGATTGACAGGTTTCCAGTTGGACAGCTCCGTTACATTTTATTAACAACTTCAAAGCAAGATTCGTAATGGACAGAAATTTTGATCAGCCTTTTCTAAAGGCAGTTTCTTGTTTTCCTATAAGCAACTGAAAGTTATTTACTAGGCATGCAATAAATTCTATAAACTCTGCATTTAGGGAAAGTATGGATCCAAACCCCTTTTATTGCTTGAGCGCATCTTAACTGATTAAGAATGGAACCTGAAAAGTAATAAAATAGAAGCAAACACTGATAATCCCCGATTTTTTTTCTCCGTTGACCTAGTCAGAGCACTGGTACCTGTGAGCATTTTCACCATCAGTTTGTCACTTTTCTGTTGTTTTGGTTTGTTTTAACGGAACAGCATCACATGGATCCATCTAGCAACTTCTGTAATTATCGAACAGCCCTGCAAGGAGCAGCACAAAGGTCACAAACTGCCAATAGCAATCGGGAGAAAATTGTCATTCCAGTTTTCAACCTGTTCATAAAAGATATTTACTTTCTGCACAAGATACACACAAATCGCTTGCCCAATGGACAGATAAACTTCAAGGTGAGGCTCTGTTGTCATAAAATAATATAATACATTAATCAAATGCTGTACATTGCAAATTTTTTAAGCATTCCAAATTAAGTCAGGATCCCTATAGCTCAGTATAGTTGTCGAACCCCTAAATTATTCAACCAGATTGTCATCTATATGCAAAGTTAAAATCATTGTCTTGGGCATGCAGGGTAAAAAATAATGAGGTTTAGACTTATTCTGTAAGTATACTGCAGCAGTGGAGACTGTATCTAGCACATCTAGATGGCAGATTTATCACCACTAAAAACTTACATAAAGTTGCCCATTCTGTTTTCAAATGTTAAATGAACATTTCAGCACATTTTAATACTAAAAATAAATTGCTAGTCTCTATGAAAGAAACAAAGCAAAATTCACACAAGTCTAGAAAGCATATAATCAAGTAGGTCATTTAACAGAGCTTATATGCAATAATGTTCAGTGGGAAATACAGGATTTCAGCAGAGGAGATTGGGTTGTATTTCATGAGATGGAAATGCTAACATGAATACAACTCCAAATAGAAAAGCGAAGTCTTTTAAGGAAGATTCTTGTTGGACAAAGAGAGAGCAAGGTGCCGGAGAGCCTTAAAAGTAAAAAAAAAAAGTTACAATACATGAAGATATTGAATTAGGAGGCCCAAACAATTATTTTAAAAAGGCAGGGTAGAAAATGTAAAGAAAGTATATGCTATAAGGAACAATACATCACCAAAGCATAAAAGCAGACCTGATGGATTCTGTGGCTTCTATGTTTTCAAAATCCAAGTCAGCTTTCTTTTATTATTCTGAAAGTTGAATGGGAAGTTTTGTAGCAGAAACAAGCTTCTCCCCTCCCTGGGAGTAGGACCAAAAAAAAAAAACCCCTACAAGTTATTTGGCTTAGAGTAGATGAGTTTTACATTAGTGTATATACAAAGATTCTGGTACAGGCAGATTCTTACTAGGTTACCAAATTGCTCACCCAGGGAGAAGTCTGGCTTACTGAAGACAGGTAATTTCTCTGGACTTGACATGAACCCTCTTGAAATACCTAGAGAAGTAGAGAACTGTTTTTAGACCATATTTAAAACTGTGGTTGGGCCTAAAATGTGATGTTGCTCCTTCAGTGTAACCTCAGCTCCAGTAAAAGAGACACAATGCAACTGAGTGACGGGATCAGCTTGGCATCAGAGCCTGACTGATAACAGAATGTGTGGATTTAAGGAAATGCAAAGTCCTAAGCCTTCAAAGCTACTCACAAGGGCTTGCCTGCACAAATTCCATTGCTTTCAAGTGGGGTGCTGTGTTCAATCACCAAATGCAGCTAGCATGCGATAGTTAAGAGGGTTGAAGAAAGTTTATACTGCTAAAAGAAGAGTTTACTGTATGCTCCAATAAGTAAACAATGAAAACATAAGATGAGTGGTCACTCTCTTTTATGAAAGGCACGGTATGTCCTACAAGCATATGGGGGACTGGGAAGGGCACATTTTAAATTCTGGGTTCATTTCTGACCATCTGTGCAGTCATCAGGTTGCTATAGAAGAACTGCAGAAGATAGCCTGACTTGTTGAAAAACTGAAATAGAAAGCTAATGATGCCGAGTCTGTATTCTTTCAGCAATAGTGGTGATGTTAAGGCATTCAGAGTCTGAAAGGGCTGAGTGTGGGTGGCAAAGAATAGTAACTGTAATGCTATTGAACTATTGTCAAATGTCAGATAGAGGAGGGAGGGAGGGGGGAGTTTTAAAGCTAAGTGAATGTCAGAGCCCCTAGGTATTTCCTCCTCAAACGGAATTGCTAAATATATGGAAGAGACTACAATGGACAAGTGCAGCAGCTCTGATAAACAGCTTTAAATGGCAGCAAGAGGGAAGTCCAATTCTCACAATACAATTCACTGAAACAAGCAAGGAGTTAAACTAGGAGCTTCTACCTGCCCTGCATTAAGAAGGCTTACAGCAACAACAAAAATCAGGGAAAACATTCGCACACAGTAGGGGAGGCTGTTGTTTCTAATCAATACCAAAAAAATGTCTCTCTGCAACTGTACAGTTTCCACCAATTTCTAAGCCAAAAGGAGATATTGCTGTAGCTTGAAAATGCTTCTTTAATACATTAGATAATTCTCAAGGCCTAGCTTTGTCTGAACAAGAAAACAGCAAGAAGAAATCTCAATATGCAGAAATAGGGAGACAGAAGAGTTTATTTTATTTTCCTCAATTAGATACTGCCTCTCTGAACAAGAAATTAAAAACAAAGGCAATCAAAAAATACAATATTGGTTTACAAAACTAAGCTGGGCTGGTTTTCTCACAGAATTTTAATGGAAATAACACTGGCCTCCTGAAAGCCAATTTACTCTTGTAGCCTGTGCGTGCAGTATTTGACTTCTAATTCCCCCCACTTGATCTACAAATGTGTTTACACAGCAAAGTTTGAACCAGATTTGGATATTCCCTTTCTGCTTAACTGAACAGTACATGTTATTATATACATAATCATAAAAGCAGAGTTAGTTTGTTTCTTAAGCCCATTGCAGCATAAAATGAAAGACTGTTTCTGAAACACTGAAGCAGGAAAAAAATTATACTTAAGGTTGATTGAAAATTCCTTGAAAACTTGAGTGGACATCGCATTTTTGGCTAAGCTAAAATTCTTTGACAATACTAATCTCAAGTGTCCAGAGATTTTATTGGAAGATTTATTTAAAATAAACAAACCCCAGAAAATTAGGGAAGGGAGGAAGGGAGCCTTTTGTCAATGTTTTCCATTGTTTCAAGCGGTATTTAAGAGGTGTTGAAGAAAGTTTAAGGTGCTAAAAGAAGAGTTTACTGTATGCTCCAATAGGTAAACAATGAAAACATAAGATGGGTGGCCACCCTCTTTTTTTCGGGGGGTGGGGGAGGGGGAAGGGGGAAACGTGGAAAAACACTTGTTTTTCCAGAAATACACCCAGTAAAATATTTTTTGATCGGTTCTAATCACAAGCTAACAGAAACAAAAAGACACAGAAACAGGCTAACAGCTCAAGTGAAAAATTAATAGGCAACTGTAGATGAAGAAAGGGGTGGGGAGGCAGGAAACTAAGAGAGTAGAATATGAAAGAAGAGAGTTAGTTAGTGTTTGACAAAGAGGGGTAGAAACTGTACCAAGCCTAAGGAAGATGCTCAAGTGAAAGTAGAAGAAAGGAGTAGTACAAAAGGAAAGGGACTGAAAAAGGAGATTAATGGGGCGGGGGAGGGAGGCAATGTAGAGGTACTGCTAAGTGCAATGTGTGTGCACACACAAGAGAGCTTGTATCTGAAAGAAGGGCAAAGATATATTTATTTTATAATATTCTCTTTATTACCTCTGCAGAAATTTTGGGACATTTCAAGACAGATTCATGATTTCATGACATGGAAACAGGTTGAGTGTCCTTTTGAAAAGGACAAAAAGATCCAGAGTTATCTACTCACAGCACCCATTTACAGTGAAGAAGGTAAAAAAAAAATCTTTCAATCTTTACTAAAGGTTATACAAGCTCTTTCTGCCTGTTGATACACGGACATAAAAAATGAGCACGAGAAAAAAAAAAGGCTAATGTAAAAGATGAAGTTGTGCCTCTTGATCTCTGCGCTGAAAGAGCTCTTTAAGTCAGGGTCTGACAAGGCAGTCCTGATAAGTTTGCATGACCAAAGCCCTCATAATGGCATACTGCCCCAGGGTTACTCAAACTTCAGTATTGCCAATAATGCTATTTCACTTATCCACAATTATTAAAAAACAAAATATAAAAAGGTAGAATGCCTATACCTGATTATTTTCTTTTATAATCTAGCTCTGTTCATAGCATCTTTTGAAAGTGAAGGTCCTGAAAATCACATGGAAAAAGACAGCTGGAAGACACTCAGGTATGAAGCCTTCTCAAAATGCTAGCCTTCTCCCTGCATACATGCACGCACACACACAAGTGCACATGTTCCTCCTTTTGAGTATACTCATTTTGTGTTCTCTGTTAACGCAAACCCAGATCTATATCCTGAGAATGGATGGAAACAGCTTCCAGATTTCCCCTTTTATTTGTATACACAACTCAAGCAGTTGGTTTGTAAAGCAGTGGGCATCACACACTGCAATTGAGATTCAAGACTGCAGGTGATCTGGAATATTTTGGACCAGAATTCCATTCATTCAGCGTCTCTTCTATTCCACCATGTTCAAATCCCCAACCATCCATTAAAGCTTCTATGTTTGTAATATTTCAACACCCGATGTTAAGGCTTGGTTACAAAAACACAAGAAGAAAGAAAGACTTGTGCATCTTTTGTATTAAAGGTTTTTTCAGACAGCTAAGCAAGGTCAAATAGAATCATGCATAAGTCCACTCACATACCTAGTAGCTGGGATAGAATGTGGACCTTAGTTTTGGAACCTTCAATACCTGAAGGAGAGAGACCCTGACGAAGTTGAGGGCCATTGAGGAGAATAATCAAGTCCCTTCTAGGTGCATCTACATGAGATGTTTACTACAGTTGACAAACTAGCTGCCCAGTAAGCATCTCAGTGTTTACACATGCACCCCTGTTAGGCTGGAGTAAACTCATTTACTCCACAGCAGGACAGTACTCGTAAATACAAGTACTGTCCTGCTGTGGAGTAAGCTCTGCAGAAGCACACATGTAGATGCTGTCCCGCTGGCTGGGGCATGAAGGTACGTGCTTCAGTGCAGGAGCTGCCTTCTGGCTAGCCCTACACTGAAGTTCCCTTGTACCCCAGCCAGCCACTCTGCAGCACACTGAGCTGCAGAGAGCAGCCCTGGGCTGGCAGGCCGACCCTCAAAACTCCCTACAAACTTTGCCCGAATAACCTACAGAGCTTATTGCTCTGGAGTTATTGCTCCCAGGCATGCCATTTGATCACGAGTGATTAACTCTGAAGCAATAAGCTCCGCAGTTTATTCAGGTGCCATAATTGCACATGTGGATGTGCCCTCCAACAGCTAAGTTAAAGCTATAATAGCTATAATAGTAGCTGAAGATATTAAGCCAGGGAAGAGCATAATGGTGCAGTGCTTGGGAAGAGCTTGCTTGAGTATAGCAGGTTGCTATATCTGGAGGAAAAGCATGGAAAAGAGTCCTACCCTCCAGGCACTAGGTAGGATGTTGAAGAGAGTAGATTATGGAAAGTGTATTATTCACTAGAAGCCATTCATTCTTCAGGATACTGTTGATAGGGCCAGGCTCTCAAGGATATAAAAATCAGCACCTCTGTGAATGCCAAAGATGCTCATACCTGCTGAGAATCTGGCCCTGGAAGAAAGAATCTGACTGTCAAGCATTGTGTCTAATATGGATGCCTTCCCCAAAAGAATACAATCTGTCATGTTTTAGTGGAAGGTGGAAGCACTATAATTCATGAGATTTTTCTTTCTTTTATTTTTAGAACAACTCTGCTTAACAGGGCCTGAGATTCCTGGATCCAGTCTGCAGACTCTTAAGCACACAGAAAGAAACTTCTTTTTAAATCCTGAAAGACTGGGGTTGAGATAAGCAAGACCTCACTGGCTGAGGTCTAGTTTTGTATATACAGTACCTTTTATGAAATAAGGTTGCCATGTGAAATAGTTACCACATTTTTAAGGCACTTAAGTGAAGGATTTTTGAGTTTTTATTTTAAATTAAAGGGCAGGGCCCTGTTCTCAGAGATGGTATCCATGGTGAATTCTTATTCAATGACATCCAAATCTTTATTTTTAATTACATCCACCTAAAAAAGAATTACTTAATTAAATAAATAAAGCCACAACACATACCCACCCTGCCCCCACATGACAACAACCAAAAAGACTGTACAGGTTTAAAACCCTTTATGACCATAGCCCTGCAAGATACTTACTGCATCTTCTTCCATTTAAGCATGGGAGGAGTTAAAGGGAAAAGGCAAAGGGTCTCTTCAAGTGAGTGGGACTACTCGCATGCTTAAGGTATTACTTATAGGACCAAGCCCTTAGACATCTGCAGCGAGGGTGTTCCTCCCTTACATCAGAAAATAGTGCCTTATAAGGTACTGAAATTGTCTAGCGTACCTTCTGCTATTCTAGGCTGGAATAAATCTAAATAAAGATGTGGATGTCTAAAAACCAGCTACAAAGTACTTTGTAAATAAACAGGAAGCTACGGCACATGAACTAGAGTATACCTGCCTATAACAATGAGGGTGCAGCAAAACATATTTTTGTTATGTGATTTGAAGAGATTGATGAGATAAATGCTAGTGTGTACGCGTATGCGTGTGTGCTTGTCTGTCAAGTTTTTAACACTTCTGGGAACTATCCTTTGAGTTCAGGCTGCCAGAATAGTTTACATTTTATTTTTTAAACAAAGAAGGCTGTATAAACTAGATCATCTCTACAAAACAAATGTAATGTGTCTTTTTCAAAAACTTTTGGAAACTAATTTATAAATATGATAGGGAAAGTAGTGAACAGGGAAGCCAAATCTGCGGCTTAAGGCTAGGATTTTCAAAGAAGCTTAAGGTGTTGTACACTCCACGTGTCCTGAATTTGAAGAATTTTACCTTATTGCCTAGGTTGCTCTGAAAATGCTAGCCTAAATGACAGACTGAATAGTAAGACAAAGAGAACCTCGTAGAGCAGATTATTCTGGCATTTATTAAAGTAGCCGCTCTATGTTTGGGCCAGAACTCATGGCAACTAACTGAAAAAACACCATTACACATATTAGATCAAGCCTTTAAACCCAAGTCAGTGTCAGAATTAGAGATGGATTTGTAAACCAATGGTGCTTGCAATTTCTAATTTCTCCTTTTAACTGTTTTTGAGTTTATGGCTTATTTGGCAACAATCATGAGCCTATTTCAGATGCTCATATTAAGATTCAGGCTATTTGCTTTCAGGAAAAAATAACTCATTTTGGGACTTTCTTCCCCACCAATTCCCTTGATTTCTAAATCAGAGGAGAGAAAGCATTCAGGCTCAGATTAAAAACTATTTTGTTCAATGAATTTACTATTACCCATGAATGACCATTCATTCTCCTTTCTAACAATTGATCTCTTTAAGCCTGAGGGTTGAATATTTATATATAATGAGACCATTAAGACAATTATATTAGAAAGGATTTGTTTTCCAAAGCTATCAGAAGCTTGGAATAACAGAAGCCTTCAAATGCCAGGACATAAACCAGTTTCAAACAGGGGAACCTGGGAGAAGCTTTGTGTATGAACAGTTTATTTGACTTTAAGTAGGATAATTTTCTTTTGCTTTATCACTGGCTGGCCAGTGTCAGAAACAGGATACAAGACTAGTTAGGCAACTTTATCTGGTCCAGTCATGCAAAGATTTCTAATCAAGCTCTTACAACTGTACAGTACCATAACATAAGATGGACAAGTGGGACTATCCCCAGCAAACAATTCAGAAAGGCCACCACAACGGCCACATCCAGGGAGCCAATGCCACCACCCCCTCACAGCAGGATGTGTTCGGAAAAGCTAAGATGGTGCATGCTGCTGCTGCCCTGGCACTTTACTGCAACAATCTCTGTGTGAGGAGGTAAGCATTTGCTCCCTACTCCCCCCACCGCACCGAGGGTGCCAAAATTTCAGGTTATGCTTCTGTAACCATGAACAGTCCTATTTACTTCATGTAACGTGCATTCACTTAGCAACAAGTGCTTGCAGTACTGGTCCTGAGTGGATTCGTGCAGGGAAACCTCTGCTTCCTTCTCATTTGTACTTATGAGAAACCAATACACCTGCATGGTGTAAAGGCAGGGGGACAAAGGCAGCCAGCATTTTGCTCTTTCCATAGGACTGGAATTATAAAGGGGAAAAATTAAATAGATGCCATAAAACAAATTAAATAAAGTAGAAGGAGGAAGTAGAAATGCTCATTGTTAACAAAAAGAGCCCACAGAAAGAAAGAGGATAGCTATGTTTCTTGTGATCTGCTGCTAATTTTCCTGGGCTGAAATACTGAATCTCAGCCCTGGATTAAAGTAAGACTATTTATACTGTATTATTACAGTGTTTTGCACTTTCAGAGATGTTCTAGCTAGAAACATTGTCAGACACTATAAAGGAGATTGTATATCAGCTTTGTTTATGTAACTGAAATTTTAAAAAGGGATGCTTAAAATTTAAGAAATATATATTTGAAATGCAATTTTAGAACACTTTCTGTACATGTATTAAAAAAAAGCTTTCACATGAATGTGCACTTCACTGGTCAATCAGTCCTAGTATATACTTGAAATCAATGCAATGTCAACATGGGTTTCTTCTTTTTTTTTTCTTCCTTCAGTTTGATACATTTCTTAAATACTGTGTTTTTGCAATTCTGAACTCAATTGCTGAATATAAAAAGCTGTACCATAAAGCAGGATATTCCGTGTTTGACTGGATGTGCTTGCATTAATAAAAAAACAAAAACAAAGAAAAAAGTTGCTTCAACCAGGATAAACTTTTTGTCTGTGGTTATTTCTCTCTTGCAGCCAGATAAGGTCACAAATGGATAGCTGAATGAGGCAATCCATTGTGGTGCATAAACAACTTTTGTGCAAGTCAGTCAGCTGTCTGAAGTTTCAGGCCTGGCTTCCTACGTGCCCTATGAAGACTGCCAGTACATTTGACAGAAGTTACTGCAGCACTATGCTAATAATGTTTTGCTTATTTAAATGTGCTACATATACAACAGCTCACTTTACATAACTGTGCTTTTGCTCTGAAGCAAGTAGAACGATGGACAGTTCTGTTGCTTGCAATTTTACACTGTTGGTATGTCAGGCGCTGTTTTAAAGTTTCTTCTTTCCCCCACATTCTTTTCCTTTTTAAGGTGGAAAGTACAGAGGGGTATATTTGATTTAGTACAATAGAAAACTATCCTAGGGCAAAAGCCCTAGGATACTGAGGCACTGTGACACCTCTATAAGGCTTTGTTCCCAAGATCTACATCTGACAAGTGTTATTCTCTCCATTTTACACTGTTCTTATTTTACAGATGGGGAGAATAAGTTAATTTGTCCAAGATCATGCAGTAAACAAGAAGCACTACAGTGCAAATTCAGGTTCTCTTATTTGTAGTCCTATCCCCTATCCATTAGGCCACCTTTCCCCAAGCACAACAAGCCACTTAACAATACTGTATCACCTCACAATTCCACTCTGACAGGAGAGATCTGGGCAGCTTATTAGGTTTGTCTATATCTCAGTTTCTGTAGCTGATGCAGTCTAGTCAGAGAACTTCAGAGAGCAGAAACACTTTCAGAGACTACATCCTTCACAACAATTCCCATTATGGCTCATTAGAAAAGTAATGATGTTTACCAGTAATACGAGGATCCAATTGACAAGCATCTTCCTGATGGCCAGTTCATGATCATAATTAATATGCATATTATGTACTTGGAGACTCACTTCCAATTATGTCCCATCTAGTCATTAAGGATAAATTAGCTATTTTTCTCTACTCAGGCATGACTGCAAACAATAAAATTGCCTTCCAAACACTTAACTTCCATTAAAACACAATGTGAATGCACCAAGTAGTAATCTGATTCCAGTAAGATGTTTCTGAGCGATGCTAGTAGCAACTTGATTTATCAAGCTAATGAAATCCGAAGAGCAACCTTCTTCTAGCAAATACCACCCAAGCAGCAAAATTCAGTCAACTAGTCACCTTGTACAACTGATATTAGTACTCCCTCTTCAGAGGATCAATACTTGTTCAGCACAGACATTAAAGCTCACATCTTTCTTCTTTAGCAATCTGAAAAATATCTGATTTTAGGTTTCTCAGGGCTTCCTGGAACCTCCACTTTCCAAATAATCAGAAATGCCTGTGAAGAGTGTCTTAGGGCTTTCTATAGCCATTAAACAGGAAGATGTGGACAGCAAGACTCACATACACAAAATAAAATTGCAGAACATTTCCAGATCAGTGAGCAGGCAGTCCTCAACTTATGGTGTTTTAACTTACAGCAATTTGCACTTGCGGCACTACGCCATTTACACCCATGTTATTACTTACAGCGCTGGATCCTCGCACTTACAGTGCTACAGGGAAATTTACAATGAGAAAAAAAGGGTAGCAAAACAAACATCCCTGGATCAGTTTCTCAAAAAACCATCAAGTGGCCCTAAGTCTCCCCAAAAATCTCCCCAAAGAAGCCCTTCTGAATTCCATGACGCTGATGCTGTTCCTTCACCTTCTGATTAAATACAATTTTATGCAACTAGTTACTGTATTTTCCTGTTTAATCAATTTATATACAGTATATTTTAGAAAGCTTTGTCCTGTACAGTGTATATTTATAGTTGATTAGTTTATTTAAATATGGTGCTTATGGTCATTTCTGTAAAAAGCTGGGCATCAGGCCCTTGGGTCAGGAACATAACTCTCTATTATAACATTGTTTCTATGGGAAAATCAGATTCGACTTACATCATTTCGACTTACAGCACCTTTTCCAGGAATGTAACCCACCGTATGTGCGAGGACTGCCTGTAGCTATTTTCAAATGCTTCCACACTGGCCACTAGACTTTTAACTTTTTAAGAGGCGTTTATTCCAGGGAGGGTGACAAATCGGGGCCAGTAAAGAGTATGTACAGGTTGGCCCGAACACCTGGGCCTCACGGACATGGTCCTGGGCTCACGGCCTGCAAGGCCTGCCCGTACACTCTAGACTAAAAAACCATAGCGAGCCAAAGGTCTATTTACATATTTACATTTCTGCCAGCGGGGACACCCATGGGGGGCCTCAGGGCCCAACCCGCGTGAAGCAAAGTCCAAGGCCTCGGCCCGCTGGACGCACTGGCCACTAGAAAAGCAGAGATAACTGGCTATGCTTTGAGATTTCTGAACATCTCTATACAGATGCCTTAATGATACATCCTCTTGGGAAAGAAATCACTAAAAATATTTCATTTTAAAAAGCTTCTTCTCCTGCCACTTGATTTATAGAGTCTCTTAGAGGTGGCCCTAGAGGCTGGGGATAGTTTTAGGAACAAAGACTTTGACTTTTAAGAGACATTTATTCCCGGGTGGGTGATCACTCGGAGCTAGTAATGAGCATGTACAGGTACGCCCGGATATCTGGGCCTCATGGACAAGGCCTGGGCTCATGGCCTGCAAGGCCTGCCCGTACACTCTAAACTAACAAAACAACACACACACACACACCCCCACAAAAAAAACCACAAACGAACATTCGGACTATATTCACTTTTTTACAGTCCTGCCAGCAGGGGACACCCATGAGGCCTCAGGGGTCGCCCCGCATGAACCAAAGTCCAAGGCCTCGGCCCCTCTTGAGGCGTCCCTG